TTCAGTGATGAGAGTCGCACGTTGAAGCCACTAGGCCAATACTCATGGGGTATCTAGGAAAGGGTAAAATAAATTTAGTTGAAACGTTGGGGCAATCAACCTTTTTCAGAAATGTCTTAAAAGCGATATATCAATTATAATAAATTGTGACACAAAAGCATTCAAATGTACCTAAAGGTGCTTTACCATTAGAATAACACTGTATTGAGTGTTACAACAGATTTAGTAAACATTTACGTAAGATCAAAAAAGCTAGTTTCTCGTGTGCGTTACAAATCGACCGTTAGCCCTTGCGAAGAGTTCAACGCGTTCAGGCTGTGCAGCCTCCAAGGTTGAATGATTTATCATTTTAGATCAATATTATACTAGTGGTATTATGAGCGGTGATTGTTAAAGCTGTTTTAGCATCAGTTTTTGACCTTTGCACTTTAAAATGTGGTCATTAGAAAATCGAAAAGTTTTAGATATATCGTTGGCATTTAAGATATTTAATAGGCATCACTTGTCTCTCTTTTCCGAAGAACATTCTGAGCATTCTGATAAACGAGCTAGGTCTGGATATTGATAGATTATCGTTTAGTTCTTAATTTAATTGTTTTGTTTATATTTTATTATATCTTCTTGTATGTTATGTTCACCTATAAGTTACTTGTCACATTAAAAAATATATTTTATCGTTCTTGTACTAATGTATCAGTTTTCCAATCGTTGCCAAGCTTTTATAAATAAATAAGTAAGACAAATTACACGCAAGATCTAGTAAAAACGCTTGTGTTACATGTTTGTATGTACATGACGAAATTTTCACTTTATGTAAAATATAAGTATTGTATGAGTAAACCAATAAATTTTCTGAAAGCCAAACTAGTCATTAATACAGTCAAATAAATATTCAGACTTAGCACTATAACACGCGACGAAGTCTATATATATATTATTAGAGTCCAAGACACCCAAATAACACCCAAAAGCCCATTCATTTACGAATTGTGTAATACTAGCGGTAATAGGGAAACTCTAGAAGCTGGATAAATACCTGGTTTTCTTTCATATCTCGTAAAACAACTTATATTATCACAGAATTACAGCTAAGCTTCAATCCAAATGCGTTGCCTTCCTCTTACCCAATGTTCTTCTAGTCTTGCTTGTTAACTGGTCTGCATCCAACTCTGGATATTATATTGTTTCAGTCTCTCTTAGCTTCCGCACTTCAATGACGCCGCTATTCTTTTTCTTTCTTTTACTTTATAAATGCCTAAAGATAAAACAAAATTACGAAATATTTAAGTGCACATTAGTTTTTTTTTAATGAATTATTTATTAGTACTATTGATATCTATACTCCTATTAAAAAGATGAAAGTTTGTTTGTATGTTTGTATAATCAAAAACTGCTGGACCGATATCAAATATTCTATCACTTTTTGACAACACTATTCCTGAGTAACAGGCTATATTTATGTCCAAAGTTTTGTAAAAAAATCTGTGTGATACCAGCCGCTAGAATGCGATAATATTTTTAACAGTAAATTTCCTAATCTCATAGTTTCTACTGCGATTGGAATACTTAAAAAGTCTTTCAAATTATAAATAGCTTCCAAGTGCAGTAAAAATTTCAAAGGCCCAAAGCGATTTATCTTAAATGTGTATTTGTCCTGAAGTACCGCCTCAAAGATTATCTCAGATACCGTTTGTTGAACAATAGATGTAGATTACATTGAAGGCCTGCTACTGTAGGTATTGCGAAACAAAACCTTTTTGAGAACAACAAAAGACTGTTTCATTACAGTGAATTCGTGACTACTAAATTAGCATTTTAGTGCGGAAAAGAATAATATTAAAGCCTTTTTATTTCCATAAAAAAATTACATTCCAAAAGTTGTTAGTATTTACTTAAAGCTAAATGTTATAATAATAATGCTAGTTTTATTACTAAACAAAAATGATAATATACAGCTTGGATTTTTTAAATACATTTTATATATTATAGACCAGGGTCGATAATTTTTGAAACCTAAAAAAATTATAGTAGGATGAAACCCATTGGAAAAGGAGGAGAATATTATAAAAATTAAAGGAAAAATAATTTACGGGCGATCTGAGGTCGGGAAGGGGTAGGGGGGGAGTTTTAAGGGTAAAAAACGGTTTATCTCGATTTCCGGCAAAACTAAGTCCTATGGAAAAAAGTCAAATGGCAAAGTTGTAGGTAATAAAAAGATCGAAAACTTTTGTATTTACACATTTTTCACATAACATCAAAATTTATGTGAAAAATTCAAAAAACCAAGTTTTTGGTTTTTAATTTTTATCTTTTACAAAATTTATTTTTTTCCCACGAAATTTGGTGAAAACTTACCTTTTTATGTCTTTAATACGCTGTAATTTATTTGATTTGAAATAATAATTTTTTCACCTTATTTTGAATTAATATCGAAAAAGCACCCTAATTTTCAATCGAAAATTCACCCGTCAATATATCAGCTTTTTTCAAAAAGTTGGTGTGCTTTCAGTTCGTTGAAATCTCTACTTTCCTATGGTAAAAAAATATATATATATTACTATAGTAAATCTTCTCAGAAAATGCTAAAAATCGTATGCAGTAACGCCCAGACCCGTCATCCACTTCCCTACTTCTCTATGAAATACGAAAATTTTAGCTCATCTAAAGGCTAAAATTTTTTTTTAAGGTCACTCAGGTATATATAAGTTATCTTAAAATAGTAATAAATTTTTAAAAAGTTTCTTTAGTAGAGAAATGGATGAAGAAAGCTAAGAACTGTTCCAAATGGAAAGTCCAGGAGGAGGCCTTTACCGAAAAAGCCATCCTTCAGAATACGAAGAAACGAAAATAACAATGACTAACCTAGAATAATATTAAATAATATAAGTATTATAACAAAACTGATAATAAAAGTATTATAACAAAACTGATACCCATCTGTTATATAATTTTTAAAAGTATGGAATTAGAGTGGCTTTATTATTATCATTTTTAAATGTTAGTGGAAATAGATACACTCCGAAGAGATTCCAATAATATCCCCAAGCAGACGCATGATTAGAACCCGCAAGGAAAGCGGAAGCTTGGCCGTAATAAGCAAACCTTGCGTCATAGAGTTGCAGATGAGGCAAAGAGAGAAATACTTGGAGCGAGGTGAAATAAGAGGCTCGAGACCGCACGCGATGTAGACTAGGGGTCATGGGACATTAAGTAAGTCAATAAAAGTGCTATTGTCAAAGTGGTATTTAAATTTTGTTAATAAGTTTAATATTTTAACGATAATCAAAAAAATTCAGTCGTGTTTTATTTAATTCCTTTCACGTTTTTATAAAAAAACTCTTCTATAATTCGAGTTTACGTTAAGCTTCCTTAGACAAAATATATTATCGTTTTCGAAATCATTTTTACTTTCAAATATGTAGTATTAAATTAAACACAATTATATAATTTGTCACTTCTTAGGTCAAATTATATATATATTTGGTGTATAGTTTATTCTTTTCTGTAAAGTTTTATCTTTTCTGTATAGTTTTATCTTTTTTGTATAGTTTTATATCTGTATAGTTTTATCTTTTAAAAGTTGTGTGCGTGTTAATAAATGTTCCTTTCTTATATATAGGCTAAACCTTCGTAACTTATCCCACAAAAGCGAACCAGTGTCGCGTTCGGACTTTAACCTATAAAATGTATAATTTAATTTGAAAACTGCGTCGTTTATGTCCAACAAAACAAGTAGAGGTATTATATCCGCTTTAACTTTCTCAGCCAAGTTGCATCACTTGAGGCGCGGCGCCATCCATGATTCGGTGGCAACGTTCTATACGTAGGAATTCATTTAGCTCGATAAGTGTCCGGTTTCAGTCTGGCACGATGAGCGTTCGATGCATGTTGCAGGGTGACCGTGTTTTATGGTTTTGATGAGGTTGAATATAAAAAAGCTACGGTATTTTTAGGTTTTTTGAAATGTTTTTTTTTGTATAGTTAGCATAAATTAAACAGTGGCTGACCTTTTTAGGTCTGGGCCTCAGATTTCTGTATCTGTTCCATGATCATTTGTAAATCTAAAAGACAAGTAGGAGATCAACCTCCTGTGCGTCACGATGTTTTCCTTCACTGTTCGAGCGAATGTTAAACGCGCACATAGACAAAAACTCCATTGGTGCACCGCCAGGGATCGAACCTACGACCTCAGGGATGAGAGTCGCACGCTGAAGCCACTAAGCTAACACTGCTCATTACTAGAGCCTGGCTTACCCAGTTTGTCGTGATTCTAATCATCATACAAAAAACAGGGCCACATTCAATATTAAAACTATTCTAAAATAAATGGTAACATGGTAACCCTACTTGTATTTATTCATGTATCGGGCAGGTTCTACGGTGCGGGGCGAGGGCAGTGCTTACTACGTGATTAATCCCCTCCCCCCGCACCGCCCGCGTGGGTTTCGAGGCACGCCGTACTCACCGGGTTTCCTCGTCCCCGCGCCGCTCACGGCCACTAACTACGCACGGTGCTCGTAGTTGAGCGAAACTTGAAGCGCTTGAATCGCTGCGTGCGACAGGTTCCGCTGCAACAAAATTTTATTTAAATACGAATTACGATTTTTAGTATAAGTGATACATTGGGCAGTTGGTTTAGAAATTTCGTCATTTAATATAGCCGTGTCTTCTTCTGTTTATTCTGTAATAATATAAAAATGGATAGTTCTTGTAAACTTGATTATTGATATTAAAAACAAGCGAACAAACACTTAATAAAGTACTAAAATGGTTAATACAAAGAGTTGGTCCTGTTTGTTTACATTAGATCACGAACTTTTATCAACAAAGGTGAAGACTCGTGATTTACATAAGTTTGAAAATAAATAAAATAAACTACATTCATAAGCTTTTAAATTAATTCCCTAAGTGCATTATTATATCATAAAACATGTCTGGCACAAAAAGCACTTAATGCTTTTTATTTCGTTTTCAGCGCAATTCTATTGAGGGAGTCGGTGTCAGCGTAGTTCTGCCACCAGTCGCGCTGCGACCAGCACCGACGTCGCACCTCGTCCGCGTTTTGCTAAATTGTTAATATCATTCATGCTAATCTCCACCCGTTGATTTTCCTGCTGTGTGACCGCAGTACCGCGATATCGCGAGTGTCGAATACTAGTGGACGTTCGTGTATTTTTCCATTGGAATCCAACGCCCACGAAACCAGTTCTGTGTATCACGGCGCCTTTGGATGAGATTTGAGCCGTGACCCGCGGCCTGCGATGCTGCGCCCGTGACCGTCTTACGACAGTACCACGAAACGTAAGGACTTTTAAATCGTAAGGATTATAACAGCTGGCGTTATGCGCTTTCCCATTTGCATGGTGATACGAGTGATATTTTCGTCTGTCGTTTGTGTGCGTTGTGGGCGTGTGTGCGTGTCCGTATTCTACGCCGAGACGTCTGCTCCCTGAGCCTCGTTTCATAAACCCGTAATTGAAGATTTACATTCACCGCATTAGTATAGCGAAAGACTAAAATTCGATTGCGACAAACTATCAATTCCCAAGCTTTCGTTTGGTGCTCAAATTTGTTTCTATAGAGTATTTAAGAATGTTAATTCATTAGCTCTGAAATGTTAATGGATTGTATTTATGAAATGGGGCCTTGATCTGTTTTATTTAGCTTGTTTCTGAGCCGGCTCGACGCTCTACATTTTGACTCTACCTGTCTCGAAGAAGGCTCTTCGGTCTTTACAAAATGAATTGAAACGTGAAGTATTTCGTCAAAATTCGATTACACTGCAAAATCGAGTGCAAACTCCAAAATGTAAAACTAAACCATGCAATAGAAGCGAAATAGAAGCACTATTATCATAATTGACGTCATAATATTTACAATTTTTAATCAGAAAGATTATTTTCGACCGCGTCAATCGATTTGTTTACTCCTCGCTCTTTCTACAACCTTCGGAATGTCCTTTTGGAAATCAACAAAGGAAACTTTTATTCTACTTGACCTTCCATTGACAAAAACAATTGAATTATTTGCATTCATATGGGCGGCTTGCGAATTGTATTCTAAATTAGTATTCACAACTGAAATACGTCAAATAATTCAGATATTGGCTGCTATTCAACTTGTAACCACATTCTTACTAACTTTTTTGCTTAGATAGACTGACGTAAAAGTTTAGTTTCGACTTATCTATTAATTAATTTGAAAACAGTTTTATTATAACAATTAGATACTTAAAAGTTTCAAATACGTGGATCATTTAGTTCGTAACGCACACAACCAGAGGATTTCTCTTTTTGACAGTGAAATGCATTTTTACAAGCACAGAAAACTACGTACCCATAAATAATGAAACATAGGTCTGTACTTATGTTTCATAATTTGTGTGCATATGGAGATTCGGACTTTACAGATTGACCTATACTTTATTAGTAAAACACAATTAAACAAAAAACAGAAAAAGAAACAAACACAGAATTATTATACCTCTTGGTGCCATTTTTACCATAAAAAAAAATTACACAAAAAAAATACATTTATTTTATCGGAAGGCTCACGTCTGTTTACCAGGAACAAGTGAATATAAAATTAGAACAACAAGGAAAAGTACAGAACACTGTCCGATAAACTTTGAACTTCTTACACGAGATCTACAATTCACTAAGTTTACAACGATGTACATGTTTGTGCATGTCTAAAATGTTATCTAAATAAATAGGGCAATGAACGCAAAAATAATTCATATCCTTTACTTTGAAATTCATCTTGGCAATTAATTTTCAGAATAAAATTAACCGTACGTTTTTGCGAATATAAAATTGTGATTATAACTGCATTTTTGAGATGTTAGGGAATTTTAAAGTTAATTAACATTATCTTATCATTTAGTATTCTATTGCTAGAAGCTTAATAAGATTATTCTATTAAATATTAAATTTTTTCCCATTTTACCACAGTATAGAAATATAATCAGAGGCAATTAAAGTATTTTTATAATTTTAATTTTAAATTAAGACACTAATTAAGGCTTTAAATTGTAGACTAAAAGCCATTCCTGATAAATAATTCTTCTAGAAACATGTTTTTGATCTATTAATAATTCAAAAGTGATCTATATAGATCCCCAAATTAGGCAGCCTAGCGTGACGTGACGTAAACCTTATGTAACCTCACGACCTTCAGAGTATTGCAGAAAAATTATATAATTAAATGTTTATTTACCCTTGACATATTACACATAAGGGAGCCATTACTATGAAACTAATATAATAATTAGATTAGTATGTTTTATATACTAAAACAAAAAACATCATTTTGTTGCTCTCAAACAAAGCATGGTTCACACTAAAATCGCAGTTTCCGTTTTATTTAAAAGTAGCATTTTTTAAGTCTGTTCTCTTTGAATAGTTTAATAATGACTCTTGATTGGTTATCTATAAATTTTAGGGTTATCAGACCAACGTGTAGCTGAATTTTGAATCATTTTATACCTGGTATCGCTTAACTTCCTACCGTTTGCCCCCTGTCTTACATAAAAGATAGCATGTGGGAAGGTGTTTTGGTGTATTTCTATCCAAAGGGGGCAGATTCAACAGACCGAGATCCTACACGTACCTTAATTCGCCCATACTCATAATATTCACGATATAGTTTGATATACGTTTTAGAATAAGTAGTCTATTCCAATTTTACATCAATTACCACCAAAATGATTACGTAATATAATTAAAGCTAAATTAAATATAAAATTAAATGCGAAATTTGCTAATCAATTTTATCGCCTACATGCAGGTATGAAGAATATTTAAATATATAATATATAACACTGGCGTCACGACATCCGTACGCTTAGATCATTCAATATAGAGAGTGGTTCATGGGTAAGATTTCTACATAGAGAGAGAGAGATTCTCGTAACATATTGGATTTAGGCATACGGAAGTCATTTTTCGCGCTGTATCAATTACACACCACACATTAGTATTATTATTCTAAACCAAATCAAAAAGAACTTAATCATAGCAACATCAGCGCTTCTTGCTTACAAACATTGATTTATTGTTATAATTCTATGTACAACTAATTAGCGGGTTCAGCTTCTAATAATTAATAGACAGATGTTTGATAAGCGCGGTTTCAAAACAAAGAGTTATCTTTACGGTTTGCAATCGCTAACAAAATTGTGCAACTATTTTATGATGGCACTACTAAGTGAGAAATAACAAACGCTGAAAAAGTACTTCCAAATCAGAAAATATTTAAAAAAATTATGCCCTTCTATCTATATATATGAATTTATGTGTTTATTGTGGTTATCTCACGCAGAGCAGTTGGCCTAATGGCTTCAGCGTGCGACTCTCATCCCTGATGTCGTAGGTTCGAACCCCGGCTGTGCACCAATGGACTTTCTTTCTATGTGCGCATTTAACATTGGTGAAGGAAAACATCGTGACGCTGATCACCTATTTGCCTATTAGATTACCAAATGATCATGAAACAGATACAGAAATCTGAAACCTAAAAAAGGTTGTAGCGCTATTGTTTTTTTTTATTGTGGTTATCTCAGGGATCGTGATTCCTATGTCCGAAAGTCTGTCATATATGTCCAGGCATATCTACGAACGAATTAACGCTAGTGAAGCGAGAGGCAAGTGTTAGCTTTGATACATTGCCGAATTTTAATAGGCACGGGATCACCTACTCCCCATAAAGTGATGAAACCGTGACCAACCCAAGAGTTTGTTTAATTATCGACCCATATTAAACCTCACACCTCGTTCCTTTCACGTGAATGAATCTTTCATTTTAGGTGGGAACAGTGCCAAATATTTTGCTCACATTATATAGATAATAAGGGGCGTCCATAAATTACGTGAGGTGTTTAAGGGGGAGGGGTCAAAAAAAAAAAAAAAAAGGGGGAGGGGGGGGGGGGGGAGATAAATCTCTTTTGGGGGGGGGGGGGGTTCCGCGAACGCAATTTTTCTGATTGAAAAAAATTAGGAAAACGGTTGACCCTAAAGGCCATCCCGAAACTCCAACCTAAACGCTCAACATTTCATTTTAGGTGGTTTTTGAGCACTGAGCTCAAAGATATTTTACGCTTTTACGTAAAACCGACATTATATAGAATAAAAAACCTCAGTAATTTATGGACGCCCCTAACGAATATTTTATTAATTGCAAGTGGAGAAATATAAACATAGTAACATATAGATTGTTTACGAGATTACATTTGTATATTGAGGTATGAAATATACATGGTTACCCTTTTAATTTTATCATGATTTAGAAACAACGTTTCATATTAGTTGCTTTGCTAGATTATAAGATATATTTAAAAGTAAATATTTATAATGTATTACTAATCTGCTTGATATAGCGTATTCGTATTCTACAAAGTGTACCATGGAGAGTGTTCTGAAGAGTTGTTTTGGTTGCCTCGTTTTTCCACCGTACGAGACTTTTATCAACTACATATTTAATTAAAGAGCAAACTCAAAGGCCGGCAACACACTCACTAAAAATTAAAATACGTATCCATGGGCTGGGGCGACTGCCCTATGCTATAAAAAATCCAGTCCTTACCAAATTCCCATTTAAATTGTTATATTTCCGTAAAATAAGACACCAATCAAAGTTGTAATGATCGGGTACTATTCAAATTTAAATTGAGAACGTATAGTTGAGACTAGATGTGCTTTACAGTAAGCAAAAAGCCAGCTTGTTTTATTTCTTGTATTATTTCATACATTAAACAATGATTCCCCAGTTAAATGTGGCTTATATTACGGTAATTGATGAACGCTGCATTGAAATTATGTTCTCACGGCCAAAAGAACGGTTTTATAATGTGTCAACAATGAAAGTACTGTTTCGGATTTCTTGTATATTGAAACCCACAATCGTAACATGTACCAGTTATCGCCAACGAAATTGATGTACTCATTATACATATATAATTATTTTCTATTGATTATACTCGTAATTACCTCATTGTCGAATGGTAATTAGTATTTTTCATGAATATTAAACGGAAAAGACGTTTTAATAGTAATTCAGGTACGTTATTTTTATTTACTTATTTCAGAACATTTTACATGAGATGTTTTGCTAACATAACCCTTTCTCTTCATCGGCTTTCATTAAAATTATGCTCGGTAACCGGTTAAGGGTGATCTTGACCCGCCCTTTCTTAATTTATTAATATTGTCATGGCTATAATTAAACCTGCCGTATGTAGGATGTCGAGTAGTGGTAGAATATCTAGTAAATGCAGGCCTTTGCTCGATAGATTAGTCTATTTATAATCAAGTACAGTAAAACCCATTTAAGACAATTTTCTGGGATAATTCTCTTTATGAATGCGATTTAGCGGATTGCACTTTAGACAGTGTCTAATTTAAAACATCCTTATTATTTACCAACGCACTTATATTTGGCGGATAAATGCAGTGGCTCTTGGATCATT